GAAGGGAGTCACAGGGTCCACGAGTGCGCAACCCCAAGCCAAAATTCACGACACCGCTGCGTTGACTTCGGTGATCTCGTTCTGTTTGGTGCGATACCTCAATGCGACAAAGAACTTAAACGTGCGTGGTGTGTGGTGCGGGGCTTGGAAGTGGAAACCCACACTAACACAGAGCGCAAATTGCTTATTGCGGGTTTGACGTTCAATGGGTTCAGTCCCGTCGTCGTCAGCTGATCCGGTCCAGCTGGCTCGGTAGGGCGCAGCGAGCTGTGGCAGCGAGCGTTTTTAAAAGTAAATCTCCCTTCGCTTTGTTTCAAAATGGTGAAAATTCCCGACTCATACCGTGAGTAAAACGCTGCGGGCGTTTTTTTTACAAAATTACGTCGTTTTAATTGAACAATAGACTCCGGATTGTTGTCCTAAATCTGCCGTTTTTGTGCTTCGTGTTTTTAGACTGGGTTGGCACAGCGAGGTGTTTGGAAGCACACCGCTCGAGTAGATGATTTGGTCCTGCAAACAACCGGTTATACAGAATTTCAGAAAAATTTAAGTCACCACCGTTATTTTCCTTTAAATCTCGTGCGAGTTTGTGGCGCTCATCACGCGGTGTGAATAAAGTTGGGCAAGATTTCCTTCCTGCCCGCAGATGCATGAACTGAGACCCTTTTTACGTAGCGAACATAATGTTTTTTGTTTTTTTTTATTTTGGGAAGAGGCGTTGGTACATTTATTATGGTACAATCACTTGCGAGTTCAAAAATTGACGAGGGTGAGCGCTCCACTTCATTTGAAGATCGCTTGTGGCAATTGACGACGAGGCTGAAGCCTCGTCGCGAAGTGTCGCAAGTGATCTTTAAGTGATAGGAATATATCAAGACATCATCCAAGAAGGCCATACAAAATTTGTGCTTTATTCCTACGAGTACTTTGTCTATGAGAGCTTGGAATGTGGCTGGTCCACCAGCCACGCCAAAGGGCAGCCTTTTGAATTCATATGTACCCTTGTGGCATACGAATGCAGTCATGAAATACCCTTGTAGCGGACAGGAATCGGGAGGAAGCCTTGGGACAGGATGAAACTTGTGAAACACTGAGCTCTGCACAACTCTGCCAGTACACAGTCTGTCCGTGGCATTGGGTACACCGGAACTTGGGTTTTAGCATTGAGCGGCCCGTAATCCACAGCTAGTCAATTCTCTTCCGACTTCTTCGCAACCAGAACTGGGGCACAGGACCACTAGCTCGAGCTGGGTTGTATAAAGTCTTGCTGCAGCGGATCTTCGATGCAGGAATCCATAATCTGCCTTTTGTGAGCATTGACCGGGCGAAGCCTGCAGCGAATCGGCTTGAAATCTCCAGTGTTGCTGGTGTGCTCCATCAGTCCCGTGCAACGAGGACGTTTGTCAAATAGTGTGCCAATCTATGCCAGCATGGTTAAAACATACGGATGCTTTGCATAGTCAACGTCAAGATTGTCGTCGTGCAGCAGATGTTGATCATCTGTAGACATCTTGTTGTTATGGTAGGCCTGACGCCGGCCGTTTTCTCGTAGGAACTGATCATCTGCAGGCTGTTCTCTCTGCACACAAGGGCCTTCACTTGACTGGGCGAACAATTGCTCTAAGCTATACACTTGCTCGTTATTGGCCTGACCCGACTCTTCTCTTTGGATTTCACCCTTGGAAAACGGGACACGCTCCTGTTATTCAGACCCGATTGTCCAAGCGATTGACGAAATATATATGGAGATGCCAGTGGCGTTAAGAAAGTCTCTGCCTAGCACTATGTCCCTGCAAAGGCCTGGCACGTAGAGGAATCGCTGCTTACGTGATTCCCCTGCCCAAACCGCTCAGCATCGTGCGGAGCTTGTTGTCTGAAACACACCGGCTGCGAGACGAAGGCAGTGCTGCTCTTCTCCAACAGTCACTCTTCCAGCCACGGCTATCTCAATAGCTGCATTTCGTGCTAGACTGACGCTTGACCCGGTGTCCAGGAGTGCGCGAGAGATTCTCTTCCCTATGTGAAGTTCCAGAAGCGACTCTTTTCCACCGGCTGCTGTAGCTACCTGCACTGACATGTAAACACCGGCCGGTGCGGCGTCTACTGCTTGCCGTTTCCCGGACAACTCGCTTGCATATGCCTGGGCTCGCTGCAGTGAAAACAACGAGGTCGGCCCCGGCCTCGGTGTGCGCCCGTGGGACACTAGAGTGATATGTGTCCCACGCCCCCGCACCGGTGACACTGTAGCTGACGATCATAGCTGTTGTCTTGGGGCACGGCCTGCTGACGGATTGGGCTGCCGAAACCCATGTGGAACGGTGCTAGGTTGTGCGCCGCGTCAGCAGTTAATCCCTGTAGTACGAAGGGTGCAGGACCGCCGGATGCAGGCACCAGGGGTACACGTTTGGAGCAGCAAGGGTGGGCGTGGTCCAGGTTGCTATACTCTGATCCGTCACCGGAACTGGACAAGTCACTGGCGTCGCCGTTCGACTCTGGAACATCAAGTCCCGGGCCACTTAGTTTGAAAGTTGGGGAGGGGGTACATATTGGAGACATCGCCACACGCGCTACATGAATCCATCGGCAGCGTGGGCGAGTTCCTTGAGCGTGGCGTAGGTCAATCCTTCAACGAGATACCGGAACTGTTGGTGCATCTGTCGGAGTACCCTCTCCACCTGCGCATCTGTCAGAGGCTAGCCGATCCTGTCGTAGTAACTGCTGATGACATATATGAACTTCTTCAGGTTTTCCTCGGGGTGTTGAGTTCGTTTCCGCAGTTCCTCTTTCAGTCGCTTTTTCTTGTCCACAAACGCAAACTGACTATGAAACGCGGTGACCAAGCTTCCCCACCTCGTAAACTTCCCCGCGAAGCGAAACCACATCTTGGCACTTCCGTCGAGAACTTCAGGAACGACACGGCTGACCCGACCCTCTGACTTGGACACCGTGGATTAGGCAGTAACTCTCTCGAGCTCATCTATGAACCCTTCTGGTGACTGTAGACCTCCAAAGAGAAGAGAACTTGGAAGGCTGGGCGGAGGTCCACATGGCATGCATGGGATCTTGATCGGGCGCTTGGTTGGTCGCGGTGACGGCTCGCATTACCAACGGAGAGGGTAACAAGGGCTGCAACAGCTGAGACGACAAGGGCTGAGGCAACAAAGGCTGCAAGGGCTCAGGCAGCTCAAGGTCGAGCTCACCTTCTGCAAGCTCGATGGGCGCTGCAATCAAGAGCTCGCGAATGTGGTCGGCGATCTGTTTCCGATGGAGCCCCAAACCATCCGCACGAATGGTTTGGCGCTGTCCGGTTGTTCTGGGCGGCAGCTTGGTTGCTTGATACTATGGTGCTTGTTACATAACAACACGGCGCACAGCTGGCCAAACCAACGACGGGCATCTGGCACTTTCCAGCGGAGGACTGAGAATTAATTTGGACCACCTGGGGATCTTTTGACGCGCAACCGAAAGCTCGGTTACACGGCGCCTCCTCCGCAATAAGAAGAGCGAAGAAGCTTAACTCATCGGATACCGAAGTAGTCACATAATGCGTATACCGTGTGTGTGTCATAGAGGCAGCAGTAAGCATGATAATCAAGCTAATCCTACACAACCAGGCAAGCTAAGAATAACCAGCTGAACCTAAGCTTGCGCTACATGTATCCTGGCATAGCCGAGCTCAGCCACTGTTTGGTTTTCTTCTTCTACGATTTGAGATGAAATCACGCCATAGTTTCTTGAGAGTATTGTGGGGTTTGTCACAATCATTTTCATTTTCGAGAAAATAATTGTGAACTTGACACTCACTGAGCGGAATCAAAAACTCCCTAAATCAGCCACTTGTATGAAGGCTTGAAGTGCCTGGGAAGTTCGAGTTTGCGCTAGACTTACCACCCTTGCAGCAGGCGGAAAGCTGGCGAAATGTAAACGCGTCTTATTTTCCCGTCATCCGCACTTTCGCATCTCCGGCTTGCTGCAGGAGTGTTAAGTCAAGCGCACCGCAGCGCTTTTTACGTGCATCATGACCTCCTGAAACTAATTTAGGGGTTCTCGATGACGCTCAACCAGCTTCTCATTGGAGTCATATGTTTCATTTTGACTAATTAAAAAACTAGTTAGAAACCTTACGCAGTTGTTTTGCTACTTCAAAGAGAAAGCATTAAAATAAGGACGTTCACGAACAACTAAGGAAGAGTGTGTCTTTAAAGCATGTTCTTACTCTTTATATTTTAGTTTTTATATTAACAAAACGCTAGCTTTAACCAGATATTCTTGTAATTAGTGTTTGTGTGTGTGTTTTGTATCTCTAACGTCCAGCGTGGCTGGCAGTTTGTTCCAGAAAAAAGAATTTGTTTCCTCAGCCACTTTATTGGTAGGTCTTTGTGAAAGTATTAGGAGAAACAAACTGCATATTTGTTGTTTTATGATCTTATATATTATCATATGTTTATGGAACACATTAATGTTAATTAGTTTACTCGTCACTCACGCATTGAGACCGACCAAGAGGAGTTTCAGGTGTCCAACCTCCAGCTCAAGCTCGCTACCACCGATGAGGCTTCGGCGTTACGACGCCGAAGGGTCTGCTTCTCAAGCCGAAACGGTCGGCGTGAGAGGACACCGATAATGAGAGAGGGAAAAACAGCGCTTGCGCGGCTGTTATCGCACCGGTAGACTCGCTGCTGCTGCACGAGTGGTGACTTAAGCGCCTCCACCGTGCTTCCCAACGTTCTCCGACTCTTTCCAACGTTGACCGATGGAGTGGTTTTCGATGACGCTCAGGCAAGTATCTCATGAGAACCAGATATTTGTTTCGGATAATTCAGACGTTAATTAACATGTTTTACTTGATTGACCGACTGATCGTTGCAATCAGCACCTTATACTACGTCCGCAATGCCGTATAACTCATATACACAGACCGTAATAGTGCAGCTTACACGGACTTTTTTAAATATGTCTGCTAAGCTGAACAAGAAACATTCGGTATGAATTATACATACCTTTTGTCACGGCCTTCACGGCGTACGCGTACACCTCCATCTGGAGGTCCTTCGCCTGCGGGCAGATGTGAAGTTCAAAGTTGTCGCACGCTGTCGTCTTCGAGCCAATCGCTTTGTCAATTTCGGTGGCTGCAAGTGTTATAGAAGGGAACATATCAACTGACGGTTCCAACCAAATTTACCACGTCTAGCCGCTACAACAGAAGCTGGGGCGCTTATTTATCGTCGCACAAAAAATACCGGTGATAAATTTTGACCCACTTCAAGATATATACCTAATAAACTAAAACAACTGCACTTCAGACAACGGTCATTTATGGTCTGGATAATTTTCCTAATACTTACCGAGTATTAGATGTTTGTATTCCAGGCTCCTAACGTAGTATTAACACATAACCGCAATTAAGTATATAAATAGATAAATAGATGCTCATGCGAATTAATAAGGAAATGTTTATATATCAAAAAGATCGCCAAATTAGATCGAGTACTGCTCAACGAAAGTAGACCAAACGTATTTTTCAGACACATACTAACTTAAAAGAGCGGTGCAACCATTTTTGTACTTTGCGTACAATAGCAGACAGAATGAATTCCTGGCGTTTATAACCTGTGAAACGCGCGTTAGCTTTTCTTCTAGTGCAATGGTAGCCTCAAAAACATCAAGAAAAAAACAGCAGCGTTCTCTCCCTCAGCTCAAAGCCAGAACAAGCGGCCACGTTATCTGGAACATATTACATGCGGCCAATGTTAATCATAGTCACGCGCTAGATTTGGCAATGCCCAGGAAAGGCGCTGACTTCCAGACATTCTTAGGGTTTTGCTGTTGTCGTCATTGCCAGTGATTGGACATGAGCCACTACCTGAATGCTTGTCGAGCTAATGATTATTACGAGTCTAAATCGAGTGCTCACGCAAATTTCGGGTTTAATGTATGAACCACATTCAAATATCGTCACTGAGGGACAATACCACACCGCGTGTTGAATTACGTTAAGACAAAAGAACAAAGATTTAGAAAAAAAACATATACGGTAATAAAAAATACAATTATTTTAATCTTTACTGCCCTTTATAAATTTTTTTTAGCTTTCATAATGCATATTGTTGCAATACCCCTTTAAAATCATCGGAAGTTTGATAAATTACCCCCAAATATCATGAAGAAAAAATAAAGGTAACTGCAAGAACAAAAAAAAAAAAAAAACCAAAAACATTATTTCCTGTAAGGTTCGTATTTTAATACATTTTAGTTCGATTTATTTTTATTGACTCTAAAGTCGTGTAGAAGACACGAAAAAATAAATGTTTTACGACCTTGAACGCGCTGACAAAGATTAGTAACCACAGAATATGAAATAGGCCTTCCAAGAAAGAATAGAAAGGCATCTGAACAGCAGCGTCTAACGAATATTCGCTTTTATTTCTGACACACGCCTTGAGATGTATTAAGGTGGCGATGCAAGCAAGTTGGTTCATGACTTAGGAAATCGGAAACAACGCGCAAAAAGACGAAGAAAACGAGAGAAGAGCACAGGACAAGCGCTGACTATCAACTGAAGTTTTATTAAAAACGGCTCAAACACTAAAACAATACAGCCAACCAACGCCGAAACAACCAATGGCGTGTCGCTTACCATGCATCTATAAATTCGATCTCTTTTTTTGTGCAGATAAACCGAAGGCTGGCTGACACAGTGCCCCACGCCAGCTTTTTTTTTTTCAATGGCATGCGTTTCCGGCACCTCTCTTTGCACTTTTGTGCGCCCCTTGCCAATAATTAAGGTATCTTGGAAGACGGGGTGACACTGGCAGTCTCTGCAATGCACGTACAAGTGACCTCCTGTCATTGACCGCAGGGAATTCGCATGCTCACGCATTCTCTCGTTGCCGCAGCGTCCCGATTGTCCTATATAAAGTCGTCCGCATGAAAATGGAATTTTGTAGATGACACCCACAATGCAATCCACGAACTTGTTGACATGACATCTTGTTACTGCTTGCCTGGTTTACGCGCGGGCAAAGTTGTGCTAATTTTTGAGGCGCTGAAAAAACCGTTGGCACATTGAACCGGTTAGCCACTTTTTTAAAATTATGTGAAACCTTATGTATATAAGGGACAACCCGAGGCTTTTGTTTAGGCTTTACGTTTGGTTCCTGAGAACCGCTCTTGACTTTTTCCAAGAGTGTCTGAGAGAGAGACACCAAGCGAAACGGAAAGAGGAAATCCTGCTCCTAAAAGTCGCTTGACCTGAGGTTCATAGCTGTCAAGCATGGCATGGTGACAGGACCTGTACAGTGAAGCTTGGAGGCATGACGTGGCGATATTTTGTTTCACAAGTTTGGAGTGGGCGGAATCGTATGGCAGGATTACCTTCTTGGTTCGCGGGTTGTAGCGCCAACACACATGTTGCCCAGTGAATTACAGCCGTAAATCCAAAAACTGCAAGTACTGACCGTCTTGCAGTTCCTAAGTGAACTTTAGGCCTGAAGAGCAGCGCTCGAAAACGGTCATTACATCATCTACAACCTTTTGCAAAGACAACCTGCCGACACCCCTTAAGAACACCAGATAATCGTCAATATATTTGTATATCTTGCCCACCTGTTGACGCAATGCCGTTTCCAAAGACCTATCGAACTTCGCTAGGTAAATGTCGCATAGCACCGAAGCAAAGCTCGAGCCGATGCAAATGCCCTCTCTCTGTACATAGTGCATCGGCTCGAGGGTTGCTCCGGTGCTATGCGACATTTACCTAGCGAAGTTAGACAGGTCTTTGGAAACGGCCTTGTGTCAACAGGTGTGCAAGATATACAGATATGTTGACGATTATCTGGTGTTCTTAAGGGGTGTCGGCAGATTTTCTTTGCAAAAGGTTGTAGATGATGTAATGACCGTTTTCAAGCGCTGCTCTTCAGGCCTAAAGTTCACTTACAAAATGCAAGACGGTCAGTACTTGCAGTTTTTGGATTTACGGCTGCAATTCACTGGGCAACATGAGTGTTGGCGCTACAACCCGCGAACCAAGAAGGAAATCCTGCCATACGATTCCGCCCACTCCAAACTTGTGAAACAAAATATTGCACGTCATGCCTCCAAGCTTCACTGTACAGATCCTGTCACCATGCCATGCTTGACAGCTATGAACCTCAGGTCAAGCGACTTTTAGGAGCAGCATTTCCTCTTTCCGTTTTGCTTGGTGTCTCTCAGACACTCTTAAAAAAAGTCAAGAGCGGTTCTCAGGATCCAAAAGTAAAGCCTAAACAAAGGCCTCATGTTGTCCCTTATATACATAAGGTTTCACATAATTTAAGAAAAGTGGCTAACCGGTTCAATGTGCCAATGGGTTTTTCAGCGCCTCAAAAATTAGCACAACTTTGCCCGCGCGTAAACCAGGCAAGCAGTAACAAGATGTCATGTACGGTTAAGCATGTCAACAAGTTCGTGGATTGCGTTGTGGGTGTCATCTACAAAATTCCATCGTCATGCGGACGGGTTTATATAGGACAATCGGGACGCTGCGTCAACGAGAGAATGCGTGAGCATGCGAATTCCCTGTGGTCAATGACAGGCGGTCACTTGTACGTACATTGCAGAGACTGCCAGTGTCACATCGTCTTCCAAAAGGCATTAATCATTAGCAGGGGGCGCACAAAAGTGCAAAGAGAGGTGCTGGAAACGCATGCTATCGAAAAAAAAAAAGCTGGCGCGGGGCACTGTGTCAGTTAGCCTTCGGTTTATCTGCACAAAACAGAGATCGAATTTATAGATGCATGGTAAGCGACACGCCATTGGTTGTTTCGGCGTTGGTTGGCTGTGTGATGTTTTCTTGTTTGAGCCGTTTTTAATAAAACTTCAGTTGATAGTCAGCGCTTTTCCTGTGCTCTTCTCTCGTTGTCTTTGTCTTTTTGCGCGCTGTTTCCAATTGCCTAAGCCTTGAGATGGCGCAGCACAACCGGAAAATCCTCAAAGCGTGCGACCGCGCGAGTGACTTGGATGTTTTGCATTTTCCGGCCCAAAATTTCAAATCCTGCCGGAGAACTCAACCATACGTATGCACATAGTTCCCCATGAGCCTAACGTTTTTCGGCTTCGGTTTTTCACTACAACTGGCCGGGACGCCCGCCGCTACAGCCGGCCGTTACTGTCGGCCATTACAGTCGACTGTTACAGCTGGCTGTTACGGTCGTCTGGTACGGCCGAACGTTACTAAACTCTATTGAAATCGACTGATACACCTCATTTTGTGTAAAAAAACGGCACAGTGTATCTTGACAAGTTCATGCCCCGTATACAGAAATGAAAGTTTTATTTGCTAAATGGAACAGATAAAAAAACGCAACCTAACAAATCATAAAACCGCACATTTTAGAATATCCGCAAAGTTCACAATATCCCGTTTTTTTTTAAATTGTTTTTTCATGAACGGTTACTTCATTTTGTAATTCGAAATGAATTCTGTGGGAATATGATTTTTTAATAAGTTCGTTAATCGTAATGTCATAATGCAATGAAGCAATTAGGATCCGTAATTTGTTCCTGGGTTTGGCACTTGCTAATAGTCCAGACTAGACCTATGATATGACATCGGGGTTCGAACCAATATTGCAAAGTCAAAGTATATCTTATTTTGAAGAACTATGTTTGCATGTTTCAATCAACCTCTGACAATAGAGGTCAACCAACCGCGTCGAATCGTATTAAAAAATAACAGATTTTTAAACGTTTTTTTTAAAATATTTTTTGCACGAAAATTAAGAGACTAACGCACGCTGCTTAGGTCATGAGCTTCAGGGGTTCTTTTTTGGCTGTGCTTAGCGACACCACACAGACTCTGGCAATTTCTAAATTACCACGGCCTGTTCACTTTTTTTTATAACACAGGGTTTGTACAATAGAAACGTGCTGCTGATATAATAAAGACGACCTTCCGCTAATTTTGTGTTGCAGATTGGAAAACGTGCAGCCATTTTTTTTTAAATTTAACAAAACGAAGAATTGAAAGCAGACTATCATCATTTGATTTGCTTTCTGGAGATAAAAATTTGTAATATTGCATTGCGTGAGTTTTTCTACCTTTTTAAAGTTATACTGCAATAAGGTAATTATTGCTACACTTCAAAATAAA